GATGGAAAAATTAATCTTTGGGGTGTCCAGTCTGACTGGAGCTCCCAATTCTTATTTCTCATGAAGCTTTGATGATATATCATCGTACTGTTTCGATATATCATCAAAGCTGCATGAAAAACAAGAACTTGAACCACCAGCCAAATTGGACATCCCCATTCCATTACATTGATACTTTATGATATTATTTATCCTTTTAATAATCTAAAAATAAAAAATTAATTTTTTTAATCTAAAAAATAAAAGTTAAAATTGATCTAATCTAAAAACAAAAAAATAAAATTCATTTAATCTAAAAAATAAAATTTATTCAATCTAAAAAATAAAATTGAAACTCTATCTAATCTAAAAATAAAAATAAATTTATTTAATCTAAAAAATAAAAGTTAAAATTTATCCAATCTAAGAATAAAATTCATTTAATCTAAATTTAATAAAATAAGATTTATCTAATCTAAAAATAAAAAAGAAAATTTATTTAATCTAAAAATAACAAAATAAAATTTATCTAGTCTGAAAATAAAAAATAATATTCATCTAATCCAGAAATAAAAAAAGAAAATTCATCATATAGTAAATTATTTATACAATCGAAATATTAGTATTAGATATAATCTAATGTATAATATACTATACTAATGCTGGAGTCAACATTAAAAAATAAATAACTTGATAAAAAAAACGATTTTAGACTCATTCAAAACTGAAGATTTAATATCATCTAACTAATTTCTATTGGATAAGGAATATCTCTCTACTTCATGAACGAATTACTCATTGACAATAACGACTATACAGTATAGTACTATCTGAATGTCTCTCTATCCGTATAGCTAAATATTAGATGACATGAAAGCAGACTGTATAAAGTAAGAAGTATTCATCTTTTTACTGCTATAAACTGACTACTTTATGTAAGACAAAGCTCATATATATCAAATACGAGATACTTATCTTATGTTAAGAATTGAGTACTTAATGAAAAAAGAATGCAGCTATACATACATGCATACAAAATAAACAGGCTATGTCTGCTACCGTTACAGATATTATTACTGAAGAGTAATATCTCTGTGTTCAAATACATACTTGATCGAAGAAAAAACGTCGAACATAGTTTTAAATAAGAGGTATATTTGTTTTATTCCTTTCAATTGAGTGTCAGAAAAAAAAAATTGTAAAGGAATAAATGTGTCTGATACTGATAAAAATTACATTTTTTTAAACAGGCGACATCTGTTTTCTCTTGGTATGAACAGATATAGAAACAGATATTTTTTGTCTTATTTGTCGATAACAATAATATAGAAAATGCTAACTTCTTACCTCTTATTTTTCTACATTACTGGTATGACAAATCTTCCGTTTTATTTCTTATATTTCTATATTGGATATATAGAAAATTCTATTTTTTATTTTTCTATATTGGTAATATAGAAAATCTTAATTTTTATTTCCTATTCTTCTATATTGATGACATAGAAACAGTTAGTTTTGTGTCTTATTTGTCTTTAGAAGTAATATAGAAAATGTTGATTTTTACATGTTATTATTCTACATTGGTGATATGAGAATCTTATTTTTTTATTTTTCTACATTGGTAACAAAGATAAATATTTGTTTTATTCCTCATTTTTGTATATTGCTGATATAGAAAATATTTTTTATTTTTCAATTTTTCTATATTAATAGTGTAGAAAATCTTAATTTGTATTTCTTATTTTTCTATATTGGTAAGATAGAAGATCCTAGTTCTTATTTTTCTATATTGATGATATAGAAACAGTTAGTTTTGTGTCTTATTCGTCTATAATAATAATATAGAAAATGCTAATTTTTCTTTCTTATTTTTCTATATTATTAGTAAAAAAAGTCCCATTTTTTTCTTACTTTTCCATATTAATAATACGGAAGATCATATTCTTTAATTTTTTGTTTTGTCTATATTGGTAATGTAGAAAATCTTAACCTTTATTTCTTATTTCTCTTTGTTACCGGTATAGAGAGTAAACTTTTTATACATGAGTTTTTATGACTATTATGCTATGAATTTTATTATGTAGTCATAACTGCCGGTGTAGACACCTATGCATCAGGTTCAGTAAGTAAAAGGATCTGAGCTATGTGAAGTTAAGTTGAACTATAGTTGCTAGGGAAGGTGAAACATGACGAGAATGTATGTTTTTAAAGAAATCAGTTAAAACCTTACTGTACGATTTTTTTATAATCATACAAGATTTTAGTGTTGGAGCATCTAAGAAACTTGCTAGAAGAATTGACATCAGATTTCTGAGACGACAATTTTTCATATGATTTTTTGTGTCATCTTGTATGAACATATGCGATTTTTGAGTAGCATCGGATAGGATCATACAAGAATTCATAACTGATCTTACTATGTGATTTTTCGACCTGGGTATGATCGACACATGCAACTCAACTTATAACTAACTTACGACCATATACAGTCGTATACTACACTCGTGCATGGCATTCGTTTATTTTCAACGTATACGTTGATCGTATTTGAACGTACCCAGGTCGATCATTCCGGATGTTCGTAACGGCGTCGTAAACGGTATAAAACGGCGCTATTACGGGCCGTAATCCGTCAGCCCGTTTTACGATCCACCGTTTACTGCAGTAAGCGTTCATCGTTTTTACAAGAAACAGCCATCGTTTTTCGCTGTATTTTAGCCGTAAAACGATATGCCGAAAAACGGTCTTCATACAATGTCGTGCAATATTATACAATATTGATTCTCGCATTATTTTTGTCATCCAATTTTATGGCTAAAATACGGTGAAAAACGATGATCGTTTACTGCACTAAACAGTGAGCCGTAAAACGGGCTGACGGATTACGGCCCGTAACAGCGCTGTTTTTCGCCGTTTTATACCGTTTACGGTCGTTTACGACACCGTTTTCTTTGACCTGGGTATGGCACTGTATACGTTCATCCTATACGATCGTCGTATACGATGACCGTTTCTAGACGTATTTCGTCGTATACAACCGTTTACGATCGTGCTTTTTTGACCTGGGTAGAAACTAGCCGGTTTTGATTCGAAAAAGGTAGTCAGGTCGGATTTTAGCTCATCGAAGTCTTCATAGTGTTTATTGCACAAATAGTTACGAAGAGATAGGAACAGATGATAATCGGTTGGTGAGAGGTCTGGTGACCACGGCGGGTGTGGAAGAACTTCGCATCCTAACTGTTCGATTTTTTGCTGAGTCAACTTTGCCACATGAGGTCGACTGTAGTCATGAAGAAGGATGACGTCTTTTTGATTCGCCAAAGTCGGTCGCTTTTGAAGTAGAACTTCATTCAATCGCTGCAATTGTTGAGAGTAGACATCGGCGATAATCGTTTCATTGATATCTAACAACTCGAAATAGACGACACCGCTCATATCCCACCAAATGCACAGCATTATCTTCTTTGGATGCAAGTCGGGTTTCACATCCGGCAATGGTTTTTGATCAGGATCAAGCCACTACCTTCTACGATAGACGTTGGCATTACAGACCCATTTTTCATCTCCAGTAACAATTCGTTCTAAAAATGGGGTGTGCTTCTGTCGGGAAAGTAGTGAAGCACAAATTGATGCTCGCTGAGCCAAGTTGTCTATGGACAATTGATGTGGAGACGAACTTTCGTATTTATGAACCTTGCCGAGAGCATGAAGGTGACGCTCCACTGTCGAGTGGTGACAGTTGAGTTGTTCGGCTAATTCGCGTGTTGTTTGACGTGGATCAGCGTTGAGTAAAGCTTGCAACGCTTCATCGTCAAAGTCCACAGGTCGCCCGGAGCGAGGTTTATCCGTCAAGGTGGTATCTTCGGAACGAAACTTGGAAAACCAACGGCGACAAGTGGAACTGTCGATGGCTTTCTCCCCATATGTATCACAAATATTTCTTGCTGCTTCGGCTGCTGTTGAGCTTCGATCGAACTCGTAGAGCATACAGTGTCGAATACGAATTTTTTGTTCATCCATTTAATTCGAAACAAGATAACAACAGAATAGAAGAGGATATGTTTATTTATATAACGATCAGAGACTCACAAAATACAAAATACGCAATAGGAATATTATTACATAGTAAGCAGGAAAGATCAAGGTCAATATCGATGTTTGTTTGACCTTGAGAGAACAGAAATAAATGTATAGTAGTGAGATGAAAGAAAACAGAAGAACAAAAGAAATACATATATAACGAAAAGAGAATATCTTTGTTGAAAAATAAATTTGTTGTTGGACCAAAAAACCAAAACGTGCAGAACTTATGCGCCAAGCTAATAGAAAGAAAGTTTCTTAAAGTTTACTAGACGGTATCAAAGTGTTACTGCCACTACTTTTGGATTGCCATAAGTAGAATATTATCGCGAACGAAGAACAGAATACATATGTTTGCTAGATGAACACTTGTGTTAGGTCCAAAAAGGGACGATGTTTATAGGAATATTACAGCAATACTGATAAATACACTTTCAACATACAGTCTTTAATTAAGATGTCACACAAATTGTATACCGGCAGATATAATTATAAAAAACGAGTTATCTGATAAGAAATAACACTCTATACATAATATATGACGATAGAAGAGAAGAGAAAGAGAATTTATTTAAATAATATGATAATAACAAAGATTATGCGTTTAAATATACTTCATACAATATATGCAAGTTTAAGCAATTGAACCATATTTTGAGATATAAAAAGTATCATTTATTTATGATAGAATAGAATAGTAAAGATTGTACAGAATATTATAAAATGAGAATGTAAATTATACGAAGAAATTAATCCTAAATAAACGAAATATTGATTAATAACAGAAACAATTTCATTTACCATTTGTTATCTGAATTTGACATTCCTTATCCATATCTTTTGCTAATCGATCTTGAATTAATCTTTTTAGTGTTGTAATCGAACACATAACATTCTCACATCCTATAGAAATATCAATAGTTGATTAATATTTTTCTATTTTATTGATTACCAGGTAATTGAATTGGATATGCTGTTCGACCGTTCGTCATATTGAGATATTCCAATTGAATACCATATGAATGATTATCTTCAAAAATACAATTCTATGTTTCGTAAATAATGACTTATAACTTACCTTGTCGGTAAAGATCAAAAAAGAGTGCACTAGCAAGAGGAGGTTGATGAGGATAATTTATGCCCAAAAATGAGAGAATAGCTGCCATCGTTGTTTCATGCTACGCAATTTATCAATAGATTTTTTTTTAAATCAGTCTGTCTTATTCTGTTGATACGTACTCCTGAATAAATTCTAGCTTTTGGTCCTTTTGTTTTATTTAATATCAAGTTTTCAGTATTCTCTAATATATCACGTAATAATGGACCTAACAATAAGAATATCTATTTAGTAAAAAATACTCATTAGTATTTGTTTATAATAACACGAACCACCACGTAGACGATTGATTTCAGGCATAAACATAAGATGATAAGCTGATATATCGGATATATATTTAAGTTGACGAAGAATATCTGGAGTGACCCAGGATGGTGTTATATTATAAATATCCTAATAAAAATCGAATCATTTTCTTTTATAGTCCATAAAAAACAATAAATTTCAAATCAATAATGATTTCTTTACTTCGATTATGACAGTATCAGAAATAGCCCATGCATCGAACAGATTAGATACTGATTGTTTTGCATTCTTTTCAAGATATTGAAATAAATCCTGAAAATAAAAGCATTTTTTATATCATAAATGAAAGAAAAACTTGATCTCACTCGAAATTCTTTACTAATATTTTGAATTCGTTCACTCTTTTGCATTTATTGTACTAGTGTTGTATAGTAGGCACAATCACTTACACCTAATAGCTAACAAAATCAAAAACAATTAATTTATTAGAAATACATATCATCAAAATAAACCAACATGGTCGATTGATTTAGGTACTGTATGAACAGGAATAGGCTGCCATGGAAGATTTTCTGGCCAAGTATTAGTTGTAATTAAATGTTCGATCGATATATTAATCTTTGATGAAGGATAAAGACCAAGTAATGTTAAATAGGCAGACATTAACGTTCGATCATAATCTGAACTTCGAACAAAAATCTGAAGTTTGAAATAAAATTAAAACAATTTTCAATTACTAAAAAACAAAGACCAATTACTTCAGATGCTACATAAGTAGAATTCAACAATGTTGAGTAACGTTCACGAAAATATTGACCAAGAAGAATATGTTGAAATTTTCCACGTATTGTTAATGAACCAAGTCCATTAGACCAAAAAGATATATCATTTGGATCCGATGGATATAACATTGTAGGAGCTCGTTCTCCATGACGAAATAGCTAAAGTATTATCTCAATTAGATTAATATATATGTATATTCAGTATTTCGTCTTACTATATGAGTCGCAATGAGTTCACGAGCAAAGTTTGATTTACTGAATAGAATCAGAACAACAAGAACAGAAGAAAACATTGTTATTGCTTCGATAATGTCAATCGTCGTAAATGCAATAGTCAAGAAGAAAAAGAATAAATACTATGCAAATATAAGCATATAGATGAATACATAGCGAGCAATAGGATGAAAGTAATTATGGGTTATGATAAGAATACTATTCAAGTAGTATATCATAAATCTAAAGCAAGTTATTTTGCAGCATGAATATAAAGGACAAAATATTCTCTTTTCTGTTTCGACACTACTTTTGGGTATGCCTAAGTCATGTCTAGAGACAGTCTATAGACAAAAACATGTTTCAGAAATATTCATGTCAATTTGGCACCGATTTAAGCGATTAATAAAAAACATATATAAACGATTAGTGAAAAATATAGATTTTATCAGTAGAAATTTTTTTTCCCATTAAAAGTATATACCTTAGGGTTAACGAAAAGTTCTAAGAACGGTGTTTAAAGGACCTTGACGGGTAAGATAATCTATTCAGAAATGAAGAACCAAATATCCGATGTTGTAGAGCTTTTTGAGGCGCGTCGAACGGTATATAGTAAATCTTGTTTTCATAAGACTTTGAAGGAACTAGAGTCAATTTACTGAGAAACATCTACATATTCATATTCGAACGTGATAGGTCACTGAATATTGTGGTTGTTGGTAATAGTTGAGAGTATTTGCAAAATATTTTTTCTCACATACGATTTTGTAGAGTTTTGGACGAACTATACCTTCATATATGTAGCATCTTCGATCATCTTGTTAGTGTGAGTATGTGGTCATCTATCAGAAAAAATTGGCTCTAGTTCCTTCAAAGTCTTATAAAAACAAGATTTACTATATATTATTCGACGTGTCTCAAAAAGCTCTACAACATCGAATATTTGGTTCTTCATTTCTGAATAGGTTATCTTATCCGTCAAGATCCTTTAAACACCGTCTTCAGAACTTTTGATTAATCCTAAGTAATTTACTATAAGCAAATACTATAAATAAGTAAAAAAATACAGAAGAAATACAAAAGAAAAAAGAACACTAAATAGAAACTTAAAGAACATGACGAAAATTAAGTTAGTCTCTCAGTAAAACATCCATGTCACAAAAACCGGATCACTTTTAGTGGTAAACCACAGTAATTGTCAAGACCAGTGGTTTATCACGGTAAATCGCTGATTTTAATTGACACTGCGGTTCATTATCAATTTCACCGATCAACTGCGATTCACCAGTAATCTTCTTCGGTTTTCATTACATAGGTAGTTTTAGTCTTTGTTGAGGTACCTCTTTTTTTCTCACATAATGGAACTATCTCTGCTGCTGGCTGTAGTTTACAATATTTCAGACGAATAACCATACCAATGACATCTTTGCATATATAGTTCTTACCAGGAATGGGATCGATTTACGCTTTTTTGCAACTGAATTGAACTGATCTTGTTTTTTAAAAAGTTCGAAATCGAATCAATCCCATCTCTGGTTTTTACATTTCTTGCTTGAAGTGCTCGAATAATTTGTTTTGGTTTTATGATATCATCATGATATAATTCTCGTATACACTTTTTTTTACATTTTCATCAATACCATGAAGTTTATCATAATGACCATCGTACTGAGTTTTAGTTATATTAGCAGTAACTTTATCACTATCGACATGATGT